TTTCTGCATGTCGCTGCCCAGTTTTCCCAGCACCACTTGCTGAAGAGACTGTCTTTATTCCATTGGATATTCTTTCCTGCTTTGTCAAAAATTAGTTGGCCATACATTTGTGGGTCCATTTCTGGGTTCTCTATTCTGTTCCATTGATCTGAGTGTCTGTTTTTGTGCCAGTACCATACTGCCTTGATGATTACAGCTTTGTATTACAGCTTGAAGTCCGATCATCATCTTACTTTTTATCAGTATTTCCCAAATAGTTTTACAAGGAACTCAGATGGCCGTGAGATACTGTCTGTTGTATGAAAGAAGGATTCTGTCAAGTTTGGAATACAGTGTTCACTGTATCTTCTTGGAAATTCATAATGTAAATTAGCATGTTAAGGGTCCTGAGAAGTTCTAGGCTTTTCACTAGGTGCTGAGTATATGTGGTGGTAGACAAAACCAGTTTGGGGCTTAGCAATCCTAAAGACATGTTTTGACCTTGCCTTAACAACTTGCTCTATTTGGTATTGCACATCACCCCTTCCTTACTAAAACTGCTCCTTTATCTTCAGTAACACTGTATTCTCTTAAATCTCCTGATATTTCTCTGATTTGTTCCTTCTTTATATTCTTCATGGTTCATTTTCCTCTGCTTACTACTTAAATGTTGGTGTTTCTTAGAGTCTGGTCTTAACCCACTGTTCTTTTTCCACTTCTTCTCTCGATAATCTCACCCACTCTGGTGGTTTCAAACATCAGAATTCATGCTAATTAGTTTAGTCAGCCCTCAAAAAACAGTAGAAATTTTCAAGTACAAGGAGCAATGTCTTAGATAGTACCTGAAGTAAATCTGAGCCTTATGGGAGAAAAGAGCTGGGAAGTCTTTCTTCACTCTCCCTCCCAGATTTATCAGATGCTGCCTATTTCACATTCTAAAGACTATATCCATTCCCTCCCCTTCAGCGTCCTTGCCACTCCTCTGTTCCATGCCCTCATCATCTCTTGTTTCAACTGTTTGAAATAGCCTTATTTTACATGCAGTTTGCTGCTTGGTTACAAACTTGAGGAAATCATCATGAGGTATTGAAAAATGCAGGTCCAATCATGCCATTCCCTTGCTTGAAACCCTTCAATAGTTCACTATGGCTCTAATGAAGAGAAACTCCTTAACAAGGGTTACAGGCTACCTACCTCTTCTGCCTTCCTTTCTTTACTCCATGATGACTTTATTCTCCATCAGCCCTAAACTGTCATGGCCCTTGTCTATTTCATTATGGTTTTCTCTGATGAGATTGTCCACACTATCTCCTTTTCTCGCAATATTCCTTTCTTGCTTCCCAACTTGTACATATCTCTTTTATTGCATTTGCACATAAGCAGATGATTTATAATGAGGTTCCTTCCTCTCTAGACTGTGAATTCTTTGACACACTCCCTGGAGTGTGTCTTAATGGTTTTTGTAATCCCAGCATCTCTGCCACATAGTAGGTGCTCTGTTAATGTTTGTTGCATGAATATTGAACAAATTCATTCCCACCCATGGTCCTTCAACTCTTGTGTCCCCCATTCTCCACCCTACCTCTTGTGTCTCAAGTTCCTAAACTGCAAGTTCTACCAAAGGAGTTTTCAGGGACCTAAATTCTGAAGGTTGGGAGAGTTACTGTTTTTTTTAAATAATGATGATATATCATGACGATATTAAAAATGATGTGGCATCATTTTTAGTATATAGAGAAATCCAAACACTTCATAGTTTCCACATAAGACTATTGAGTATACTTTAAAAGTTAAGTATAACATTGTAATATGTGGTGGTTAAACTTTTTATTATAGAAACCTGTTAGTGGAGACTGAGTTAATGTTAGAGGTCATTTGCTTTCCATCAATTTAATATTTACCTTAGAATATGAAATTCAACAACTAAAGTAATTCTTAAGACATTGCTTGGAGCAGTATAAACTTAATTTTTGTATTTTCTTTCTTGTGTATATCAGAGAGAATCTTTTTAAGTTTGTTTATTTTGAGAGAGAGAAAGAGCGCGCGAGCGAGCATGGGGGAGGGGCAGAGAGAGGAGTGAGAGAATCTCAAGCAGGCTCCACACTATCAGCGCAGAGCCCCACACAGGGCTGGATCCCACAAATCATAAGATCATGACCTGAGCCGAAATCAAGAGTCAGATGCCTAACTGGCTGAGCCACCCAGGTGCCTGTCTTGTGTATATCAATCCCAGATCTCTCACGTATTACTCTGGGGACTCTTCTGCTTTTTTTTTTTTTTTTTTTTAAAGAAATTTTTTTTTAATGTTTATTTATGTTTGAGAGAGAGAGAGAGAGAGAGATCATGAGTGGGCGAGGGGCAGAGAGAAGGGAACACAGAATCTGAAGCAGGCTTCAGGCTCTCATTTGTGTCAGCACAGAGCTCAATGTGGGGCTCGAACCCACAAATCATGAAATCATGACCTTAGCCGAAAGTCAGACGCTTAACTGACTGAGCCACCCAGGCGCCCCAGGACTGTTCTGCTTTTGAGCCATGTTAATATCTGTTACAATTCTTGCCACCTGCTTCATTTATGCTTTGAGATTAGTGCAGGAGTCTCCTGTGTGGGTTTTTTTTTTTTTTTAAGTTTTTTTTATTTTGAGAGTGAGAGAGAGTAAGCAGGGGAGGGGCAGAGAGAGAGAAAGGGAGACAGAATCCCAAGCAGTCTCTGCCTGGTAGCCTTGATGCCGTGCTCCGACTCACAAACTGTGAGGTCAGGGCCTGAGCTGAAACAAAGATGGATGCTTAACCAAATGTTTAACTGGATGCTTAACCAGATGTTTAACCGACTGAGCCACCCAAGTGCCCCGTGGAGCCTCCTGTTAATATTCCTCAGTTTTGCCCCCTTCTAATCCATCCATCTGCTACGCCTTTGCCAAATTGATCTTCCTTAAAACTTTCATCTGGTCGCATGAATCGTATCATCCTTTAGTGGCTCCCCATTGCCTTCAAATATAGACTCCTTTGCATGGAAGTTAGTCCTGTGTGCCTCTCGCTCATCTCTCGAACTCCTGGTATGCGGCCTGTGTTGTAGCTGTACTGAACTATATGAGTCCTGTAATGCCTCCTGCTTTCAAGCCTTGTATAGGCTGCTGCCTTGATCTCTCTTGTTCACCTTCCTACCTCTCAGTCTTGTGTGACTTACACCTTTTCATCGTTTTAGTGTTCCTCCTGGAAGTCTGATGTTCCTATCCCTACCTTGGATTCTGCACACTGTGCTTTTATAATGTATTTGTTCCTTGTCTGTCCCTGTCGCTTTGAGGACAGGGATAGCGAGTGTCCAGATGTTTGACATAGTGCCAATACATGTATGTTCTCAATAAACATATATTGACTATTGCCATAATTGTTAGTGATTCTGGAATGCACTGTTAACTTTTTTAAAATCTGTTTTTATAGCCTCAAGGAATAGGTTCTCCTAGTGTTTATCATGCGGTTATCGTCATCTTTTTGGAGTTTTTTGCTTGGGGATTATTGACAGCACCCACCTTGGTGGTAAGTAATCTTTTAATTTATTTATTGTGAACTTAAATCTTGTTGTTCAATTTTGGGGGAAAACGTGGCCCTTTTCACAGTTCATTCTTGTGCCAATATTGTCAACCCTTCAGGTACTATCTTTTCCTGGTTTAGTTGTCTTTTCCAATCTTTACTTCTCCTTTACTGTTTGGGAAGGCTTGGCTAGGTGCGGTTTTTCTTGTGAACGCCACACGTGGGTCAGCAGGGACTCAGCCCACACTCTGGATAGGGTGGATGGGATCCTTAAACTGACAGGCTTAGGAAAGATGGTATCTATGACCTGAATCACTCAGTATTATTATTTTGAGATTCATTAATGTAGCTGCATTTTCCAAATGCAAGTTTCTCTTAGTTTAGGCTAAGGCTGTAAAGGTAACCATCTAAGAAGATCATTTCTTTTCACAACCCTAAGCTGATCTTGCCCACATATTCCCAGGTTTGGAACCTTAGAAAAAACATCCTTGCCAGCCCAAATATCCTTGCTACCCCTTGATAGCTAGTTGTCTCCTATTGGTGGGGAATAGAATAAACAAAGGAGTCATTATGGCAGAAGTCAGTAATATCTTGAAAGATGTAATTAGGATAAATATACAACTTACCAGATCTAGAAGAGTAGAATTTTAGAGAGATATGCTTCCTTATATTTTTTTGAGATTGTTCATTGTTACACAAAAAGGGTTTTTACAAAAAAGTTTGTTTATAAATAAACTGGATGATCATATAAGTAGATATATGTTCTAAGAAAGAAAATTTATGTTCCATATATTTCCATATTTATTTTATGGCTACATAGTCATTACTGGATCTACATAAAATACACATGTTTAGTAATTATTTTGAACATATAGGGTATATTCATGAATACTGTTAAAACCAGAAGAAAAGAAAATGTCAAATAAATACAGTTTCTTCTATAATAAACCATGCATTGCAAGTGAGATTAGTTCCCTGAATAATGACAGTTCCTTAACATATAATTGTAAGAATGCTGATTCGAATATGTTTTCACTGAGATCTTTTACTTTTTAAGAAAGATTTACTTGTAGTAGGTCATCAGTTTTACATTAATATATTGTCAAGATTGAAATGTGGACTTTTAAAATGTCTGATCTTTTTGTTTGTTTTTGTTAATAATTTCTGATGGAAGTCCTTCAAAAATTAATGTACACATTTCCTGCCTTCATAATCCATGTAGTCTGATTTGGAACTTGATCAGGTGATGCAAGTTCATTATGACATTTGTAACTTCTTTACATTGTAATAACCTGATGTCGCGGGCCACTGAGGTGCTGTGATAACTATGTGGTCTCATACTTTTCTGTTAGCCTTCATAATGTTCTCATGTGCTTTTTTATAATCTACTACCAGTTTAACATATAAATGTCTGGTAGATCATCAGTCCTATGATTTAAATTACTTGAGCTTTGTGATAGTAAACAGTGTATTTTTATTTATGTTATGATGGGTCCAGACAGTGTCCTAGGCACTTTAAATACATTATAACTTTTAATCCTCAAAATCACCTTATGGGTGAGGTATTAGCCTGATAATAGAGTTGAGAAAATTAAGGTTTAGAAAATTAAGCAACTTACTTGCTACAACTGTGAAGGTAAACTGCACAGTTCGTATTTGAAACTAGGCTTGCTTTGTTCCAGTGCTCAGCCTAGGGGAATGCTGGCAGTCGCTGGTTTATACCCAGGTTTTAGGTAAGGTTATTGGCAGTCCAAACAGTAGCTAAGTAGAGAGATTAAAATGTTTTGGGTAAATTGTTCACAAGCCATCAAAAAAGCTTTTTGTGATGTTTCCATATTTGTCAGCAGGATTTAAAGTGTGTATGGCAATTTTTAAAATTTGCTTCTGGTTTATATTCTTTAGATATGCCTGTTTTTTGTCTAACTTTGGTATTTTTCTTTCCTAATTGGACAGAGACTGTCTTCTTTAAGAACAAGGAAAGAATCCAGTTATTTAGACATAAAGGCTTGATTATTAGTTCATTTATCATAGTTATGGGAAAACTAACTTTGTGCTTAGTGTATTTTTAATTCTTTTTGTTAAAAAATGTTTAGTGCTTTTGATTTTTTTTCTTTTTTAAATACAGAATTGAATTCTGATCAGGAAAATAAAAGGTGCCAATTTGTGAGGACTTAATTTTTTTTTTTTTGCTAGCATGATTATATTTTTTGTAATAATATCTATAACATTGCCAGTTGATGTATAGCAAGACTTTTCCCCCCCATGGTTGTTATAACAGTTATTCTTAATTCCCATTTTTGTCATTTATATCTGAATTTTTTTTTTAATTTATTTTTTCCAACGTTTATTTTTTATTTTTGGGACAGAGAGAGACAGAGCATGAACGGGGGAGGGGCAGAGAGAGAGGGAGACACAGAATCGGAAACAAGCTCCAGGCTCTGAGCCATCAGCCCAGAGCCCGACGCGGGGCTCGAACTCCCAGACCGCGAGATCGTGACCTGGCTGAAGTTGGACGCTTAACCGACTGCGCCACCCAGGCACCCCAATATATCTGAATTTTTAAATGGCGAAATGAGAATCCTAATCCTTTACCTTTTTCAGTTTTTACTTCATTAATATTTTTAAAGTCAAGTGTCCTCAGGAAAGAAAACTATCAAGTTTAATGAATATTAGGCTTAGAGTTTTATTTTTCTAATTCTTTTCTCGTCTATAATATATGCATGTTTTAAATAATTTCAGTTTTTGTGTTCTATATTTTTCTCGTGTGATGGGGAAATGCTTGTGAGGATGGTGTGGGACAGAACTAGGCAAAACAAGGATTGAGTTGTAGACATTAGATTGTATCTGAATGCTGAGATTTGTTATATTCCAGGTGCTTTCAGGTACTTTGGCCTTTAGGCATTGGATAAGAGAGCTTGGCTTCAGTATGAACTTCACTTTCACCATTAAGACAAATTAGCCAACCAGAGATGAACATTTTCAGCAGTTAAAAATGTGCTGTTAGTCAGTGATTTTTTACTAGAAGTGAATATCAGTGATATTTGGAGAGTTTTTTCAAAATATCTGGGCCTTATAACCTGTCCTGCTGAAATCTGAATTTTCAAGAGTGAGGCTCAGATGTGTATTTTTTAGAAGTGATTCTCCTATATCTAGTATATATCACTAATTAAGAACCAGTATATTAACTCAGCACAGGCCTGAAAAGGTTTTGCTCATTTTGAGGCTTTTTGCTTACAAATTTTTGTTGTTGACTTTGTTGGTAGTCTTCTTTGTTTTGGACTCCTGTACTTCCTTACTCCCAACCCCCGTGTTGGTATAGCGGGCGGCAAGGGTGCGTGTCGAGGTACAAGAAGGCACCGAGTCATAGCACTTCGCCCTCTTTCTAAAAATCAGTTAATCTTTAAACATTTTATGTCTTACGTGCTTTGAAACTGATTATAAATGGTGCTTCTTAGAGGGTCACAGCTCTTAACGTATAAAAGGGAGAATGAGGATGAAGTATAATTCAGTTTATTTATATGTTAAGTCAGTATCTTTCTTTCCATACATAGTTCTCAAAAATTATAAAGTTCAACATTTTAAATTTCAAAGATCTTTGAATTGATTCATTTAACAGAGAACCAATGGTAAGGCATATTTAATGATAATAAACAGGATTATGATGTTTTGAATTTTTTTTTTAAATTTTTTTTTTTCAACATTTATTTATTTTTGGGACAGAGAGAGACAGAGCATGAACGGGCGAGGGGCAGAGAGAGAGGGAGACACAGAATCGGAAACAGGCTCCAGGCTCTGAGCCATCAGCCCAGAGCCCGACGCGGGGCTTGAACTCACGGACTGTGAGATCGTGACCTGGTTGAAGTCGGACGCTTAACCGACGGCGCCACCCAGGCGCCCCTATGATGTTTTACATTTTAATAAATTCCTTAGTTTTCAAAATTAATGTGAAGTTAAAGATTTTTTTAATTTCATGTGGTTTCAGTTGTCTTTAAGTTTTAAACTCAAAGAACTTCTAGAACCTTGTATTCTCCTAGAACACAGTGAAAGAACAAAAGCTGTGTGGAGGGCCTGCCCAGGAGAGGATGGTAAAGTCTCCACCAAGGGGATTTACATTAACCAGAAAGAAGAATTTTACACTGCCAAATATTTTTTAAGGGGTAGTGGATATTCAGTCAGTGATGATTAATAACAGTAAGTTTAGGATCTATAATGCCTAGAAGTGGGTTACTTTTTTGACCTATGGTTCTGAAAATACTAGGCCAGTGTTTGATGGTCTAGGCTGCTTAGATGCACAGTCTGTGTTATGGATTAAGACCATACACTCAGATACATAGCATCTCTTCTATGTAAATGGCCTAGTGGCCTTTGCTATAGAGATAGTCCTAAGGCATTAATATTTTAAGGACTATTTACTCTCAAAAAATTTTTAATTCCATAAATTACAAGATTTGTAAAATTTCTTGGGAAATGTTACACCTTTTCCTGTTCAGCTCTAAGTCTGGTGCTAAAAGAGCCTCAGATCAAAATCTTTACATGTTAAAATTTTGTTTAAAAGTCAAACGGGGTCACCCAGGTGGCTTAGTCAGTTAAGCATCCGACTTCGGCTCAGGTAATGATCTTGGGGTTCGTGAGTTCAAGCCTCACATCAAGCTCACGGCCGTCAGCCTGTTGGCACAGAGCCCGCTTCACATCCTCTGTTCACCTCTCTGCCCCTCCTCCCACTTGCACTCTCCCAAAAATAAATATTAAAAAAAAAAATCAAACAGGGATTGGGGTGCCTGGATGGCTCGGTTGGTTCAGTGTCCGACTCTTGATTTCAGATCGGGTCATGATCTCACCATTTGTGAGTTTGAGCCCTGAGTCAGGGTCTGCACTGACAGTGTGAACCCTGCTTGGGATTCTCTCCCTACCTCTCTCTCTGCCCCTCCCTCTCTCTTTCTCTCTCAAATTAAAAAAATTAAACAGGGATGTTTGTTTATCTTAATTTAACTATACTTTTTTGGGGGGTTGTGAAGGTTTTTATTTTGTAACATTAACTAAATTGCATAATTGTTCTGTGTTATTAAATCACTTTGAAAGCAGTATTATCAGATAATTATGAACATTTAGTAAACAGTTACTACATGAAGGTACTCTGTGTGTCACTAATCAAGATAAAGATATACTAAATGCAAGGTATAATGGATATAGTACCTGTCCTTAAGTCTGAAATACAGTTGAAAGGAAATATATATTTTAAAAAACTGAAAAATATTAGAGCTAAGTAACTTAGTATGTGATAAAAGAAATTTCACAAACCCTATGTGACTGTCATGAGTGCTGTAATCACTTATTTTGGGCCCTAAAGGAGAAATTGATTGCTCTGTACAGGAAAGTTTGGTAGCAGAGGAGCAATTTGGAAGGTTTGGGGATTGATTTACATAGAGAAGATAAGGGGAGCAAACATTCAAAAGAAGAGGATGTCATTTATAAAAGTGTGAATATTGGAAAGCCCGGGAATATTGAAAACAGTGAAGAGACTAGATTGATTGGAATAGAAGGTAGCTTGGCAAAGTGAATCGTTAGCAGTAAGGTCTAGCATATTATAAAGCATCTTGTACATATTCATTAAGCCCTTTATTCTTTGTGACACACATTTTTTTGTCCCTAGAAAGATTTGGCCCTTAGTACTTACTTTTAAAAAATTTTTATTTATTTTGAGAGAGAGAGCACACACACTTGCTTGTGCCATGAGCACGCATGTGGGGACAGGGCAGAGAGAGGGAGGGAGGGAGAGAATCCCAAGCAGGCTATGCACTTTCAGCACAGAGTCCGATGTAGGGTTTGAATCCACAAACTGTGAGATCATGACCTGAGTTGGTATCAAGAGTCAGACGCTACACCAACCGAGCTATTCAGGCGCCCCAGCTCTTAGTAATTATTGGAAGAAAACTAGATTTGATCTGTTGCAAAAGGTTTCAGGATACCCTTTAAGGAGTTTCAGTCTTAAGCAAGAACTGGCAAACTATGGCCAGAGCAAATCTTATAAATCTTGTTAGTAGCCTGTTTTTCTTTTTTCTTTTTTTTTTTTAAGCCCACTTATTTATTTTGAGAGAGAGAGAGAGAGAGAGAGAGAGAGAGAGAGAGAGAGCAAGCACACAAGCAGGGGAGGGGCAGAGAGAGAGAGGGAGAGAGACAGCATCCCAAGCAGGCTTCATCCTGTCAGCACAGAGCTCGATTCAGGGCTCAAACTCATGAACCGTGAGATACCATGATCTGAGCCGAAACCAAGAGTTGGATGCTTAACCAACTGAGCCACCCAGGCGCCCCAGTAGCGTGTTTTTCTCAAATAATGTTTAATTTGGGACACAGCCACATCCATTCATTTACATATAGTCTGTGGTTGTTTTTGCTGAGTTGAATACTGGTGACAGACTGTATAGCCTACACAGATATTTGCTGTCTGGTTCTTTACAGAAAAGTTTACAAACCTGCTCTTTAGATCCATGGGTCATTATTATAAGTAAAAACAGGGTTTCTCAGCCTCAGCACTTTGACATTTTGGGCTGATTATTTGTTGTGGGGGGCTGACCTGTGCGTTGTAGGGTGTTTAGCAGCACCACTGATCTCTACCTCTTAAATATAGCTCCCCCACAACCAAGTTTTGACGATCAAAAATGTATTCAGACATTGGCATCTGATCCCTGGAGCTCAAAATTGCCTTCAGTTGAGAAAATATATAATATATGTAATATAAAACATAGAGAGACGCCTTGGTAGCCCAGTCAGTTGAGCGTCTGACTCTTGATTTTGGCTCAGGTCATGATCCCAGGGTCATGGAACCAAGCCCCATGCCGGGCTCCACACTGAGCACGGAGCCTGCTTAAGAATCTTTTTCCCTCTGCCCCTCTCCCCACTCACTCTCTCTCTCTCTCTCTCTCTAAAAATTAGAGAAATAAATGAGATAGAAATAATCCTCAAAAAATACAGACAAAATATACAAATATCATAAACACGTGATTTTTCCCATGTTAATGAGTTTCTTTGACTAAACATTTCTAATTTTGTTTGTTTTTACATATAAGTTAATTTTTGTTAGATTTCCAGTTTTTGGCAGAAGAGTAACTGAAGAAAAGGGAACATTATAATTCTTCTAAAGGTTTTTCTTAAAAGATGTCAGAAAGTGCACTTGGCATAGTTTTTCTTCCTGTAGAGATTTCCCAACTTTCTTTTTCCCATGTTGCCATTCTCTCTTGTTTTTATTGAGAAATAGGATGGTATAATGGAGGAAGCACTGGCTTTTTTCTTTTTTTTTTTTTTTAATGTTTATTTAGTTTTGAGACAGAGACAGAGCGCGAGCAGGGAGGGACAGAGAGAGAGGGAGACACAGAATCTGAAGCAGGCTTCAGGCTCTGAGCTGTCAGCACAGAGCCTGACGCGGGGCTCAAACCCACGAACCGTGAGATCATGATGTGAGCTAAGTCAGCCACTTAACTGACTAAGCTACCCAGGTGCCCCAAGGAAGCACTGGCTTTTAATTTAGGCAAGAACTCAGTCGCCTCATCTGTAAAGTGGTATTTTATCTAATCCATAATGTTGTTAGAATGAAAAGTATATAGAAAGACTCTGACACATAGGCTGTAAAAATGATAGCTACTCTTTCTCATTTATTTAGTAACTTTTACTTTCAGTTGCTTTTTCAACCAGTGGCTTCCCAGTGGCTCACTTGCTGCCCATTGAACAAATCGATGCCATGTGGTTTTGAGGCCAGGTCTTAGAAAGAATAGAATAACTTGTTATACATTTTCATAGGTTGGATTTCTTTTTCTTACTTTATGGTATCTTTCTAGATTCATTTTTTGGCAATTAAAATTGCCCTGTTCCCTATCTTAAATAATATACCTGTCTGTAAAGGAGTTGTCAGTCAGTTATATGTGGCAAACAGTGAAGACACCACATCGTGATTAAAAGCATGGACTTTCAAGCCTGACTTCCTGTGTTCAATTTCAGTTTTGCCACATACTAACTATGTAGTCATGTATAAGACATTTAACATCCGTCTGTATCAGTTTTCTTGCAGGGTCATTATGAGGAATAAAAGGAATTAATACATGTACAGTGCCCAATTTAGTGCCTTGTGACATAGTAAATGCCAAATAAATGTTTGGTACTATTAGTATTTACTCATATGCGTAGTGTCATACAAATCCAAAAATTTATGAGATAAAATTATATGAAGGGATGTTTTAAAATGTAAATGTGTAAGTTTTGCTGAGACTGAAATGTGGTATTTTGGTTTTTTCTTTAGGTATTACATGAAACCTTTCCTAAACATACATTTCTGATGAATGGCTTAATTCAAGGAGTAAAGGTAGGGTCAGTGATATAATGCACACATACACACATACACTTTCGTATGCATAATTCTGCCCATATATTATTGTTACTTAATGGACCAATTCACTGTTAATTTTTACAATTTTGAGTGTATCTTGAGGGATTACTTAACACTTTTAAAATGAACTGGCTTTTATTTATTTACTTACTTATTCATTGTTTACATGAACTGGGTTTTAAATATGATTTGACTCAAATATAGCCAACTCTGTATAATGATAAATCACATCATTACAGACTTCTGTATTTTATGTGTTGGCATTTTTATCCTAGAATGCTTTTATAAACCAGCAACAAGAATATAGATTGAAGAGAAAAGAATTATTTGAAAAATGCATAAATAAGTATAAAACTGTATGGTAATGTCTTGAGTATTCTATAGTCTTTATTCTTGATTCCATTTCATCAACAAGGTTTATAAACAGATAATTAGCCTGTGGATATAAAAACAGTTAACATACCTTCCTAGAATTGCCAATGTCAAATTATTGTGACTGAGAATTCATTAGAGCATTTCATATTAATATGCAACCACAGCCCTTCAGGTGATTCTAGATAATCTTCGGGAAGTTTTAAATTATATATAGAGGAAAAATAAGCTATCTAGTTTAGTGATACTTACATTTATGTTAGAGATAAACTTTAAAAAATCTCTTCTAGGTTAGTAGAATGATTTCTTTTTGGTCATTGATATACATAGTATACATATTTTCATTTACTTTCTTTAGGGTTTGTTGTCATTCCTCAGTGCCCCACTTATTGGTGCTCTTTCTGATGTTTGGGGCCGGAAATCCTTCTTGCTGCTAACAGTATTTTTCACGTGTGCCCCAATTCCTTTAATGAAGATCAGCCCATGGTATGTACATAATCAGATTATAGCAGTTAAACATCATTCTGTTCATTGTTTTCTAAATATTCCTTTATTTCTTTCACTTTTTCGCCATCTTACCTATGTAGGTTTTAATTTTATTCTTCCAACATGTTTATTCTTCAACACAATAGAGGGCCCTTAAAAATATAGTGGCTAAGCAATAGCTCATAAAGGTTATAGAACTGGATGCTACTGTAGGAAGTGTGTAGACTATTGGCTAACCTTTTTTTGGATTTCACAGCTCAAAATAATAGTTGCTTTAATATCAAGGAAACTTATTTCTTTCTCTATATAAAAGAAGTTAGGAGTTGAATGCGCTGCCATTCTCATTCCAAGGTGGCTGCCTGAGCGGCAGCTTGTGTCACACTTCAGGCAGCAAACGAGGGAGTGGCTAGAAGAGCACAACGCCTTCCTATATGGAAACTACAGAATTCCCACCCAACCTCTGCTTACATCCCTTTGGTCACATTTCAAGCATATGCTCCTTGTTACAAGATGCTGGGCTCATGACCACGTTAATTAAAATCAGGATATTTTCACTGAGGAGGAAGGGAGGGAAGCTCACAATGAGAATGATTTTCCTGAGATAATAGAGCTCAGTGTAGTTGTAGAGTTATTAATTCTCTTATGTTCTACTCCACTGCATATTAATGTTAGTTATCCTACATCATAGATAGAATCCTACATTTCTTCCTATTGTAGGTTAGTTAGCTAAAATTCTAAAGGCCAAACTCCGGATGAATGCTAGTCACACAAATGAAATCTTACTAAAGGAGTCCAGAGGATGGACACAAAATTTGCTGTGGAAATCAGTGTGTTAGAAAAAATTTAGTAAGCAGTAAAGCCCTAGTAGAATATTCTGAAAGTTCATTATGATTACACATGATTTTTAAAACATTCAGCATGACAATAGAAATTTCTTACTCCTGGCCAGTTATTTTGAAATCATAAATACCAAAATGCAATTTCCTTTTTATTTATTTAAGTTTTATTTATTTTAGAGAGAAAGAATGCCTGTGCACATGCTCAAGGAGGAGTGGGGGAGAGAGCGGGGGAGGTGAGAGAATCCCAAGCAGCCTCTGTGCTGTCAGTGTGGAGCCTGACCTGGGGCTCAAACTCATGAACCATGAGATCATGACCTGAGCTGAAATCAAGAGTTGAACGCTTAACCAACTGAGTCACCCAAATGCTCCTGTAGTATGCTCTTTTTAAAATAGTTTTTGGGGCACCTGGGTGGCTCAGTCAGTTAAGCGTCCACCTTCAGCTCAGGTCATGATCTCATGGAACGTAGGTTCGAGCCCTGCGTCAGGCTCTGTGCTGAAAGCTCAGAGCCTGGAGCCTGCTTCGGATTCTGTGTCTCACTCTGACTCTGCCCCTTCCCCACTCATGTTCTGTCCCTCTCTCTGTCTCAAAAATAAATAAAACATTAAAAAAAATTTTTTTTAATAGTTTTTGTTCACTCTTTATAGTAATTATTCTCAGTTTCATTTGTGAACTGACACACAGGTTTATTCTATGTAAAGTCTGATTTTTTGTTTTGCCAACATTTGAAAAGCTAAAGATAGCTTATAGAATAACATCTAGTTTCTATATATATGGCATAAAATAAATAGAGAGTAACATTCCTCCATTTTATTTACTGAATTTTGTTTTTTGTGTAGTGCTGTGGTGGGAAGTACTAGTGGATGAATTATAATAGACTAGTTTGTTGCTGTTTTTAGTAGAAACAACAACAAAGCCATTTAACAGTACACTACTTGGGTGAAATATTGACCTAAATATATTTTAAGTATTCCCGCTTAGTAGCTGAATTATTTTTGAAGGGCCACTTCTAATGCTGTTTTCATTATATCTATGGCTTATGATTTATAGATGACTTAAGCTGTTGCCTGAAATAAGCTGTTACTCTAACTCATTTACAGAAATAAAGGAAGGTTAAGGTAATGTTAATCTGTTTTTTGTCAATTGTCTTTACATCCTAGGTGGTACTTCGCTGTTATCTCTGTTTCTGGGGTTTTTGCAGTAACTTTCTCCGTGGTATTTGCATATGTAGCAGATATAACCCAAGAACATGAAAGAAGTATGGCATATGGACTGGTATGTTTGTTTATTCTTTGTAGCTGCAGGAAGACACTTTGTTTTTTTAATTATTTCTTTTTTGTTTTTTTTTGAGATTTTATTTTTTATTTCTTAAAATTCACATCTAAATTAGTTAGCATATAGTGCAACAATGATTTCAGGAGTAGATTCCTTAGTGCCTCTTACCCATTTAGCCCATCCCCCCTCCCACACCCCCTCCAGTAACCCTCAGTTTGTTCTCCATATTTATGAGTCTCTTCTGTTTTGTTCCCCTCCCTGTTTTTATATTATTTTTGTTTCCCTTGCCTTATGTTCATCTGTTTTTTTCTCTTAAAGTCCTCATATGAGTGAAGTCATATGATTTTTATCTTTCTCTGACTAATTTTGCTTAGTATAATACCCTCCAGTTCCATCCACATAGTTGTGAATGGCAAGGTTTCATTCTTTTCAATTGCCGAGTAATACTCCATTAATTATTTCATATTACAAAGAGTGCAAGCCTTTGCATTACAAAATTTATTTTTTTGCATAAAATACATTTCATAATAAAACCATCCATTACATTAATGGATGGCTTATATTAAAAGTTATTTTCAGGGGTGCCTGGGTGGCTCAGTCAAACATCCAACTCTTGGATGGCTCACGTCATGAGCTCGTGGTTCATGAGTTCAAACCCTGCATTGGGTTCTGTGCTGACAGCAGGGGCCTGCTTGGGATTCTCTCGCTTACTCTCTTGCAAAAATAAATAAATACTAAAAAAAAATTTTTTTTAAGTTTTTTTCAATACAAAGCCTTGTAAGTTTTGATACTTTCAGTATTAGTCATATATGCCAGACTTAAAATTATAGAATATTTTTACCTTATAGAAGCTCTTTTTGAAAGAATACTGAAAATAAATTATTTACTATCATGAGTTTAAAACAGTACTAATATTTAATGGCTACTCTAAAATGTAATAGGCTAATATGTAGGTCAGGTATCAGCAAAACTTTCCTGTGACTTTGTGGGCTATACAGTTTCTTTCATATTTGTTTTTGTGTGTATCTCTTCAAAAATGTAAGAACCGTTCTTAGCTGGATTTGACCCATAGGTGGCAGTTTGCCAACCTCTGAATTTTGTTTTGGGAAATGAATTTTCAGTGGTAGTGTAGTCTGCTGTCTGTCAAATCTAAGAAGAAAATAGTTTACACGGGCATGATAGTATACAGATCATTATTAGATATCCAGAAGTAGGACAGTGATGAATTTCAACAAATAAAGGACAAGCATCTTTTTTTTTTTTAATGTTCATTTATTTATTTTTGAGAGAGAGAACGTGCATGTGCTTGCAAGCAGGGAGGGGCAGAAAGAGAGGAAGAGAGAATCCCAAGCAGCCTCTGTGCTGTCAGCCCAGAGCCTGACATGGAGCTCCATCCCACGAACCCTGAGATTGTGACCTGAGCTGAAATCAAGAGTCAGATGCTTAACTGACTGAGCCACCCAGGAGCCCAGAACAAGCATCTTTTGATAAATAAGGGCTGAATATTATGTCAGGCTGAATCTTCGTTTTATAAGAGACTGTTTTCTTGATTCAAAGGACACTATATAACAAAGAATCATGGAATTTGGAAGTTTTGAGGAGAAATACCGATAGTGAGAAACTTAAAAAATAACTAATGAGGGGCGCCTGGGTGGCGCAGTCGGTTAAGCGTCCGACTTCAGCCAGGTCACGATCTCACGGTCCGTTGAGTTCGAGCCCCGCATCAGGCTCTAGGCTGATGGCTCGGAGCCTGGAGCCTGTTTCCGATTCTGTGTCTCCCTCTCTCTCTGCCCCGCCCCCGTTCATGCTCTGTCTCTCTCTGTCCCAAAAATAAATAAAAACGTTGAAAAAAAAATTAAAAAAAAAAAATAATAACTAATGATTTCAGTTGTAAACTTAGAACATTAAATGATACAAAGTTGACAATAGCCAGGAATTTTTTTTTTTATATGTTTATTTATTTTGAGAGAGAGCAGGGGAGGGGCAAAGAGACAGGGAAAGAGAGAATCCCAAGCAGGCCTTGCACTCTCATGCAAGGCCTGACATGGTGCTCGGATTTATAAACTGTGAGCTCATGACCTGAGCCAAAACCCAGAGTCAGACGCTTCACTGGTGAACCACCCAGGTACCCCCAAAATTTTTAAATAGTTTTATTGAGTTATAATTTACATACCATAAAATCCATCCATTTTATGTGTATAATTCAATGAATTTTAGTAAATTTATACAGTTGTGCAACCATGGCCACAATCCAGGTGGTTTTTGTTAAAGGTTTTTTTTTTTTTTTTTTTTTTTTTTTTTTGGTCATAGCCAGATCCTTGAAATTAATATTCAACCTGGAGGCTTTATATATTAAAGGCATATTCTAGCAAATGGCAGGTAATTCTTGTAAAAATAATACAGATGCAGCTAACAGCGGGGAAAGTGTTCTTTGTGGTCCTCTGTCTAACCAGAAAAGTAAGGCCACTAGGTGAGCAGAATGGAGGAGAAGGGAAATGACATGAAACACCTACACTCTAATTGGACCTTTGCTCACTGCTTCGAATACATGGTCTCTGTGAATACGATATCTCAGTGACCGTCGCAGCGAGAGCCATTGCTCCTTTGTCCACTTAAGTTCCAGAACCATGCTTATACCCAAGTTCCTCTGAGACCACAGCCCACTGTATTTAATCTGCTAGAGCTGCCATAACAAAATACCTCCACTGTCCAGTTTTAGAACATTTCCATCAGCCCACAGCCCGTCTGTCATCTGTCTCCACCCCTCACCTCAGGCAACAAACCACCAATCATTCTACGTTTGTAGTTTTGCTTTGAATAGAAATTTGACATAACTGAAATGATACAACACGTAGTCTTTTGGGTCTACACTTGGCATAATCTTTTGAGGTTTATCCATGTTGATACATTTATCAGGAGTTCCACTTTGGTATAGTGTTCCATTGTATGGAATATACTACATTTTGTTCATTCATCAGCTGATGGATACTTGGGCCGATAGCTAGATATTTAAAGTTACTAGAATGTTATGTACTTGTCAAATAATTGACCTTTGGAAATCAAATTGCTTCTTTTGAGCAGTTTTTTTTTTTTTTTTAATGTTTATTTTTGAGACAGAGAAAGACAGAGCATGAACAGGGGAGGGGCAGAGAGAGAGGGAGACACAGAATCTGAAACAGGCTCCAGGCTCTGAGCTGTCAGCACAGAGCCCGACGCGGGGCTTGAACTCACGGACCGTGAGATCATGACCTGAGCCAAAGTCGGACGCTTAACCGACCAAGCCACCCAGGCGCCCCTGAGCAGTTTTTAATAAACAGCTAAAAATAAGCACTCCTATGAAGTTAGATCCTCCATCAAAAAGTCAAAAATGGCCTAAAAACAGAATAAAACACAGGGTGGGGAGCAGAAACTCCTGCACTACAACATTGGTCACTAATTATCCTCTACAGAGTGTAGTCTCTGTCAGGTGTTACTTGCTGTCACATCTGCTGATGTGCAGGCCATTTTGTCTAATAGGCCAGACATGTCTGAGAATAAGTTACTCTTTGCTTTTTAAAGTTTATTTACTTATTTTGAGAAAGAACACATGTGCATGCAGGAGGGGCACAGAGGGAAAGCGAGAATCCTAAGCTGGCAGCATGGAGCCCGTTGTGGACACAGACACAGGACTCGAACTCATGAACTATGAGGTCATGACTTAAGCTGAAATCAAGAGTTGGACACTTAACTGACTGAGCCACCCAGGCGCCCCAGAATTAAATTTTTCACCTGTGTCCTCTTTAATCTGCATCTTCACCAGAGGTGTCTGGACTTCCTCAGAGTTTTAGACATGGTTAGTGATGAATTAAATGCCAAGGACCTGTGATCCCATCCTTCCTAACTCCACCACCTAAAGAGATCGCCAAGTTCAGTTTTATAATAGCGCTTAACACTCTCTCTGATGAGAAGATAAATGTCAAAGTCTTTAAGCTTTATTTCAGCCAGTCTTAAATATGCATCAAGGTAAACATACATTTCATTTTAATATTGGGGAAAAAAGTCATAGTGACAGTGGATTTCTTCAGAGCATTGTTTTTTAGACTTCTTTCAGGCCATTACATATTTTTTTTAGTTAAGAGTCTGATTCTTTTTTTTTTTTAATGTTTATTTGTTTTTTGAGAGAGCGAGCGTGAGTGGGGGTGGGGCAGAGAGAGAGGGAGACACAGAATCCAAAGCAGACTCTAGGCTATGAGCTGTCAGCACAGAGCCCAATGCGGGGCTCGAACTCACGAACCATGAGATCATGATCTGAGCTGAAGTCGGACACTTAACCCACTGAGCTACCCAGATGCCCCAAGAATCTAATACTTAAAAAATCTAATTCTTTTCTCTTCCTGCAAAAGAAGAGAGCATAAGACAAATGGCAGAGGCAGGAGAGGGAGGGTGCAACGGGAGGACTGATGGAAATCTGAGCTATGTGGTGCTGAGGTAGAGTCAGGCTGTACTGACTAATCTCTTCCTCTCTACCTTTACTTGTCACAGGTGTCAGCAACATTTGCCGCAAGTCTGGTAACCAGCCCTGCAATCGGAGCTTACCTTGGACGAGTATACGGGGACAGCTTGGTGGTGGTCCTGGCCACAGCAATAGCGTTGCTAGATATTTGTTTTATCCTTGTTGCTGTGCCAGAGTCGTTGCCTGAGAAGATGCGGCCAGCATCGTGGGGAGCACCCATTTCCTGGGAACAGGCTGACCCCTTTGCGGTAAAAAGTTTGTTTTTTCCTTTGGCAAAAAAGGGAATGTATGATTCAGTGCAATATTGATATTTTGTTGTGGATGTTTCTTTGGGGAAAACATCTTGACAGATTTTTAAAAATGTTTTAAATACTTTCTGGAATAGTTTGGGGAAGATGAAATACATTTTTAAAAGCTAGCTGAGTATCTGTATGTACACTGCCAGAAGATAACACTGCATATTTTTAAGAGCAGGTCAGTGTTTGGATATAAAACCTTATATCTGTCTTTTTCTAATTCTAGTCCTTAAAAAAAGTGGGCCAAGATTCCATAGTGCTGCTAATCTGCATTACCGTGTTTCTCTCCTACCTACCGGAGGCAGGCCAATATTCCAGCTTCTTTTTATACCTCAGACAGGTAAAATCCTATTCTGCCAAAGTGGACTTTTCTTCCATCGTTTAGTGCCTTAATAACAGAAATATTTAATCTTGAGAGCACTATAATAGAAGGGACTGTTTAAATGAGTCCTATTTTGTAAATAATGGCTCACTAGAACTCCTCCTGTGTAGTGTGGTTTATGATCCTTATGCATATCTCTTAAGATTTTTGGTTTATGCAGAAAGATATGATTATCCTGTCGATGTATGTGGCTTGAGTTTATGTGTTGCTTATAGACATGATGGGAAGCTTGAAATCCATTCACTTACTCCAGTCTCTTTGTGATTTAGAGCATGGATTAGCAAAGCAGCTAGCCATAATGAGAGTGTTAGTTTTTGCTCCTTAACACTAATCTTACCAAGCATGGTCAAGCCTTTTTTAAGACCTGTAAAAAGCACAAAACAGCACGATATTTATTTGTAAAACGGACTCAGAGTGCTTGATAGCTGTCTCCAATTTATTAAATCTAAGTCTAGATCAAGGGACTTAGATTTACCTAATCTAAATTAAGTAGCTTTTGTTTTTAGTATGTTAACAGTTAGGATTGGGTTCTCAGTGAAAGCCAGATTCTTCCTCTGAAGAATTCTTTGGTTATAAATGAGTTGTATTTTCTTTTTCTGATGTTAATGTTCAAGTAGTTTGGTGCCCATTTGATGTTAATGTACAAATAGTTGCATTAGTATGGTGTTTCTTGTGCTTTTTTTACTAATTAATGTTGCTTTTTCTGGAAACCTTCTAGATAATGAAGTTTTCACCAGAAAGTGTTGCAGCATTTATAGCAGTCCTTGGCATTCTTTCCATTATTGCACAGGTGAGTTTCTTTTTAGAGTGATGAGATAGTTACTCCTGGTTGACCATCCACATGGGCCTTATGTGATACTCAGGTGACACTTTCTTGATGGAGTCACCAGTGTCAGGAATCTGAGATTTGTAGGTTCAGAAACTCCTGTTTTGTTAAGTGTAGTTAGTCTTGATCAGATTTTGGGGACTGACACATATATTAATCAACATATGTCTAAACCAGAAAAATAGTTTGATTTACACTGCTTACCTGCATAAAGTCAAATATTTTCTTTTAATTTTTTTTTTGATGTTTATTTTTGAGGGAGAGAGAAAGAGTGCAGGTGGGGGAGGGGCAGAGAGAGAGGGAGACACAGAATCTGAAGCAGGCTCCAGGCTCTGAGCTGTCAGCGCAGAGCCCAACGTGGGGCTTGAACTCTGGAGCCGTGAGATCATGGCCTGAGCCTACATCAGACACCCAACCGATTGAGCCACTCAGGTGCCCCAAAGTAGAATATTTTATGTTAGTCCTTAAATATTTATTGCATACCTACCATGTGTTGCACACCGGGGATATACCAGTGAACTTAATTAAATCCCTGCCGTTGTAGAGTTTGCATTCTTGTGGGATAAGAGAGAAAACTAATAAATATGTCGATGTAAACATATCAGGTGTAATGAAAACTATAAAGAAAAATGGTACTGGGGATCTAGAGATTGACTGGGGGCTGGGTGTTAATTTTATTTGGAAGGGTTGGGAAGGCCCTGCTGACACAAGGTGACATTTGAGCAGAAACACAAAAGAATGGAGAACAAGCCATGGGAATATCTGGAAGAAGAGGATTCTAAGCAGCAGGAACAGAAATAAAACTCTCAGGACAGACTGTACCTGGCATGTGTAAGAAACAGCCAGGAGCCAAGTACGGCTCTCACACAGTGAGCAAAGGAGAGACCTTTAAGAAATGGAATCTGAAAGGTGGAGAGGGAGCAGATCATCTGGGGCCTCACAGGTTGTCCTAAGATGTGACAGGAAGATAGGAAGCCATTAGAGGATTTTGAGCAGAGGAATGGCATGAGCTATTTGTCTTGGAAACCCAGTTGGTAGCCAGTGGTTGTCTGATGAATAAGATACTAATCAGCCCAGGAATTTGGATCTCCTTAGGAGATGTTTCACCTTTGCCTCGAAACTGTGTCTGTTCCATAATCAAGTACTGTGCTCCAGTGGCCAGAATTTTCTGTCAGTCCTTCTTTCTGTGAAAAAGCCCCAAACATTTCTTCCTATTTGGCTTTGTTTTTTCTAGACTCTGAGATGATCTAACATTCTCTCCCACCTTAAATCCAGTCTTCTAGATTACAGCTTTGTTTTATTCTGTTCTCAAAATGAAAGGCAGAGTCCATTTAATAGGATTCTAGTATGTTTCACCATCTCTTAGGTGTAGGATTCCTTCTGCAGATCTCATCATTTATGAATTTTTTGGTAGGTCTAGTGATAAACGTCAAATTTAAATTTAAATTCTGTAATATCCCCAAGACCCACACATGCGTACACATGGCAGTATTAGTACTATTTCTAATTTCCATTTTATCTTGAAGCTCCTTGATCAGAAGTAATGTTGCATTCCATCCTGGCTATCAGAAAAGTGCACTTGAGCTTTGGAGGAAAATATATTGTCGCCTGTATGCATAAATAGCTTTTGAAAAAACACCCCTCTGAAGCATAACACCAAGGAAACTGTACAAATAGAGTAGAGCTTGATGAATTCTCAAATGTTAAACCAATCTTTAATCCTGGGATAAATCTTACCTGCTCATGATGTCTTATCTTTTTCTTACATTGGTGAGATTGTTAATATTTTGTTGAAGGTTTAGATGAAGAGAACTAGCTAACATTTACTCTGACACTTAAGAGATTTATAGCTATAAAGTGTTAGGAAGTTTCATTTCATATGTAACTGGTCATGGAAGCTGCAGGTGCCTAATAAATTCAGGCAGTAACCCTGCGGAACGCTTGAGTGATGTGAGGGTGCTTCAGAGGAAATTTTCCCTCTAGTCAGTAGATGGCACCTGGCACAAAGGACACAAGGTGGAAAACAGTCTCTAAGAGCTGAGAATCCAGAGGGGCAGACATGTGAATACAGGAGGCACGTGGTTGGGTTTGTATTTAGAGCACTCATAGTGCCTTGAGTCTGGGAAGAAATGAGGCACCGTCCATCCAGCGTTGATGGTACAGCAGACATTATGTACGCGATCCACAAGGAATATGGTACTTAAATGACCATTTAGTTTTCGAGGCCTACATAGAAATACAGTTTTTGAGATGAATTTTCACATTTAAAAATAAAGTCAGAAAATCAGTTGGACTTCAAAAACAGGTGAGAGGAAGTATGTGGCATACATAGAAATACTGATAATTACATTGCTGTGTCATTATATGAACTAAAATATTAAGTATAATATATAACCCCAAAGGTAGAAGAATTATCTTGCATTCTCATTTATGTCAAGTATACATTGAGAATAACTCATTTACTGTTGAACTCTGAAGCCAGTGGAAGATCTGTGTCTTTGAGCCTCCTCTGTAGCAGCACAGAGCTTACAGCTTCCCCTTTGTTCTGTTGTACTGCTTGCCCCTGTGCTTTTGCTCCTGCTGGCCTTTCTGCCTCCCATTCTTCTGCCCTAAGTATCCCTTCTCTGAGCTCCCATATTAACTAGGGCATATCTATCACCATATAGAATACACTAGCTTTTACCTGTTTATTTCTGATTATTTTTGCCTTGGTACCAAGATTGTGAGTCTCTATAGTAGCAGAGCTCCGAGTAGACTGTGAGGTTAGGAGTATATCACATTCATCTTGGTTTTTGTAGCACCCTGTGCTGTGCCTGCACCCAAGTAAGTGCATAAATTAGAGGACATTGGTTTTTTTCATGGTGTTTTTAAAACTTTATTTTTATTTATTTTTATTTTTTAATTTACTTCTGAGAAAGAGTGCAAGCAGGAGAGGGGCAGAGAGAGAGGGAGAATCTCAAGCAGGTTCTGCACTGTCAGCACAGAGCCCGACATGGGTGTGAACTCATGAACCATGAGATCATGACCTAAGCCAAAATCAAGAGTTGGACGCTTAACCGACTGAGCCACCCAGGCGCCCTAGTGTTTTAAAAAGTTTAAAGGAGCACTTGGCTGGCTGAGTTAGTAGAGCATGCAACTCTTGATTTCAGGGTTGTGGGTTTGAGCCATATGTTGAGTATACAGATTACTAAAGAAAATAAAGTATTTTAAAAATAAATAAATAAAAACTTTAAAAATTAGTAGGAAGCATTTCAAAATTAGGAGGTTAGAGGTGCCTAGGTGGCTCAGTTGGTTAAGTGTCTGACTTTGGCTCAGGTCCTGATATTGCGGTTCGTGAGTTTAAGCCCCATACCCACATCAGGCTCTCTGCTGTCAGCACAGAGCCTGCCTCGGATCCTCTGTCTCCTCCTCTCTCTACCCCTCCACCACTTGCTCGCTCTCTCTCAAAAATAAACATTAAAATAATGAAAGAGTGAAAATTGGGAGGTTACGTGAAAATATGGGTATGTAGCTTCTCCCCCAAAACAATAAGGTCTGTAAACATGGACAGACCCACTTCCCATTGGGAGCCAAACAGTTGCTGTCTATCCCCTTTGGGGCTCTTCGGCCTTATCACTTCTTTGGCGCAAGGAGGCGTGAGTTCATAATGCTTGCACTAATTAAACGTTTACGTGAGTGCTCTCATCTAGTCCTCTATATGCTGGTGACTCCCACATTTCTACCTCCACCCCAGCCCCTGAGTTCCTGCTTGACACATCTGCTGGGCATCTCAAACCGGACATAACCAGAACTAAAATCTGGATTCCTTCCCCTTCGTGCTGCTCATCTCATTTACAGGCATGACCACGCTCCTGGTTGTCAGGGCCACAAACCTTGGTGTCATTCTTGTTGATGCTTGTCATTCTTTCTCCTTACCACACATCCAGTCCATCAGATGGTATCTCCTGTTACCTCTATCTCCAAAATACATTCTGAATTGAAGCTTTTCTCATCATCTCCATTACTAGTGGCCATTACTCACCATCTCCATTACTAGTCTCTCAGCTTCCATAATTGTCTCCCTACAGTTTATTCACTTGGCAAAGAAATTCTTGTGAAGTTTTAATCCTCTTTTTTGCTTAAAATTTAATTTCCATTGCAACCAGAATAACCCTAGACTCGAAGTGACCTCATTTTGCCCCATTCTCCATGTTGTTGAATACACTCCAGTTCAGGGCCTTTGCACTTGCTGTCCCTGCTTAGAGCGCTCTGTTCTCTGAGATATTCACATAACCACCCCCTCCTCTACCTCCTCATTCAGCTGTCACCTGAGAAGGTCCTTCCCTGTCCATCATGGTTAAAGTAGCCCCTCTGTCACACAATTCCCATTTTATTTTTTTCACAGCAGCTACAACCTGGAATTCTCTTGTTAAACAGTGTGCCTATGTCCGTCTTCTCTCCAAGACAAGGTATTCTGTTTGCTGACCAGTGCTGTGACCTATTCTCTGACCCTTGGGTCAGTGCCCTTAGACCTAGAATAGCAATGGGATATAGTAGGAACTTGGCAAATATTTGGTAAACTGACCCAAACTCGTGTCAGTTAACTGTTAGCTAGCTGTGTACATCTTGGTTAAGTCATAAGTTATTTAACCTTTGGGACAAAATGAGTTCTACTAAATTAAGGGACACCAAATAATTTTTCTTGTCTAGCACACTAAGCAATTTATTCCATCATTGAGAATATTGTGATGTATCTAAAAATCACACATACTTCCCATCAACACTAAGAACTTACAATAGGTGCTAGGGATACAAAGATTCAGATATTTAAGGAAAGTTCCTGCCCTGGGGGAGAAAACCCGTGTTCCCAGTTAGAGTGTCCTATAAACGGGAAGTTTTTCTTTGCTAACTGCTTACTCTGGGTGAGTTCCCTTTTGTGATTGTGGTTGTTGAAGAATGTAATCCAGTAAGGTTCTGTGCCTTATGAAACCTGGTGGTATAGTCACTTGATTTAAGGGAAGATCTGAGAGAAAAAAGCTAGGAGTCTTAATTGTTCAAGAATCTTAACAAGAATCTTCATTAGCGGGGCACCTGGGTGGCTCAGTCGGTTAAGAATCTTCATTAGCTTTCCACTGGCTTATCTGTAATTAAATCTGAGTAAACTCTTAAATGGTTGTATCCATTTAAAGAATTTGAAACTTCTGTTTGATAATTGTACATTTAAAATGTCACCAGTGGGGTGCCTGGGTGGCCCAGTCGGTTAAGTGTCCGGCTTCAGCTCAGGTCATGATCTCACCATTCTGGAGTTTGAGCCCTGCATCGGGCTCTGTGCTCACAGCTCAGAGCCTGGAGCCTGCTTCGGATTCTGCGTCTCCCTCTCTTTCTCTCTCTGCCCTTCCCCCATGCATGCTGTCTCTCTCTTGAGAATGAATAAACGTTAAAAAAATTTTTTTTTTTTAATGTCAGCCAGTTATCCACTAGTGATTTCCTGAATTATTTTCACTTTTTCCTGTATGGACTTACTAGCTATTTTAGGTAGTATATTTAATACTTTCATTAAAATAGCAAAAAATATTTTCTAATGTCCCCAGATCATTGCTAAATTTGTTAGCTTTGAAAGAAAATAAAACCCATCCACTCATAATACTTATTAAATGCTTACTGTGTGCTAAGCACTTTATGTAAATATCATTTCATCTAACCCACATGACAGAGTTTTGAAGTAGGTAATATTCTTGCCATTTTGGAAGACACTGTTTGAGAGTGAGGTAACTTGCCCAGGGTCATACAGGGAGAGCCAAGATTATGATCCAGGCGGTTTTTCCAAAGGCGCTGTTTCTTAAACTGTACTTTTCCCATATGATACTTGTTACGTCTGTTTACTGTTTGCCAAGCATCATGGTGTCAGCAATAATTTGGATGAAGGATGTAGAGTAATTGTTGTACTGTTTTATTTGTATTTAGTCAGAACAATAAGCATTTTGGATTAACTTGGACTTGTAAAAACTTTTAAAACTATTATGTAACAGGATCTCCAAATCATTAGTTTGATCTTTTTGATGCTACCACTTAAAATTTCTGATTTAGGTGGTCAGTAGAAATGTACTCAACAGAAAGCTCACTTTGCTGTTTCCAGTTGTCTTTTTCCCTGAATCTGGATCTGTGTCAGCAGAGGAACCTTTCATCTGCTGTCTGTGACCTGGAATAATGGTCTCAAGATATATTCAGGGCAATTGTTGAAAAGCCAAAATGTAAAAAAAAAGTGGTAATCTTAGATTACAGATTGAAGGAAGTCACCAGTTTTTTGTTTTGTTTTTTTTTTAAGCTCTTTTCTGGTATAAACCGTTCTATTCTGGTTTTTGTTCTTTTCTAGACCATAGTCTTGAGTTTACTTATGCGGTCAATTGGAAATAAGAACACCATTTTATTGGGTCTTGGATTTCAAATATTACAGCTGGCATGGTATGGCTTTGGTTCAGAACCTTGGTAGGTATATCTTAATTTTTTTAATTTTGCTGTTTTTTTATTTTTCCAGCTTTATTGAGGTTATAATTGACAGACTTTTTGTTTGTATTTGCTTCTCATCTAAGGCTTAGTATTAGACTTTAATCTGTCTTCTGTGCTTTTTTCTTTTCCTGTCTAATGTATATAATACAGATTTCTCACTTGGGTATTTGTATATTTGAGACTGGCTTGAGGATAGAAAGGTGTGACATTCTTTTGTATCTATGGGACAGGTTAAAATGGGACATTTTAAAATGAGATTTAGTTTTTCAGTCTCTACTGGACATTTAATCTGTATCTTCATTAGGAAAAAACATAACCTCAAAGCAGCAAAGCTCTGAAAGCTAGCGTTACTTGCCTTTTTTGTTCTTCTGGTTAGAAGAGAAGTATTGTGTAACACCAGTGGTCATTACTGATGACAATGACACACTGGAAGTTAACTGAGAAAAGCCCAATTGTTTTGGTCCCGGCTTCATGCCAGAGAAAAGTCTCTCTGCTTCTCTTGCCAGTCTGCACTGCAGAGCGAGGGGAAGAGCGACGTTGAGGTCAGGCTGCCTGCGCACACCTCTGTGTTCACAATCACGGGACCGAAGTCCACGCTTTCCACTGATGTTTCATTCACCTGAACGTATCATCTCTTTGGATTTGGATAGGAGTCAGCATCAAGAGCGTGTTGATGCATGTTTTGTTTTCCAGGCTAGTTTTTACCAAGAGGTGCTCACAATTTAAATTATCAAAAACATTTCACATATCAAGCCCAGAACATCCAAGGCTTAGATCAGATCTGTATCCTCACACTGAATCACAAGCCTGTGGGAACACTGCCTGAAGAGTTACTGGCTTGGGAAACATGTAATGATGTTGCGTTAGGTGTATTACCCACTATGCTCAGAGTGCCCCCATCCCCACCCAGTGCTCCAGACCTCGAAGTAACTTGCCCAGAGTCACACAGGAAGGAAGGAAGGAATAGAGCAAGTACAGTTCTCCTTTTCCCTGCACCACAGCCATTTTGCAGCAAGTTACTTGGATTTTTGTGTATTTTTACTGACAGGCACAGTGGAGAATTTATTTTTGTTTGGCTGCTTTGGTTACAGGATGATGTGGGCTGCTGGGGCAGTAGCAGCCATGTCTAGCATTACCTTTCCAGCTGTCAGTGCCCTTGTGTCACGAACCGCTGATGCTGATCAACAAGGTGAGCTGATAAGAATGCATGATGATAATTATTTAAAAGTTCAGAATATTCTAATGCTATGTTCTGTCTCCTTCCTAAGTACAGAATCGTAAATGGATCTTTAGGATAAAGAATTTAAAATTGCTTTCACTGTTAAGAGGAAAAGCAGAGTCCAGGGAACTGTCTTTAGGTGGATACACAACTATGTCTCTCTCTCTCAATGTGTGGTCCTGTCTGTTCTCTCGCAAGAAGATCAAGTGATCTAGGTCGGCCACCGCATATTCACTATTAAGTGTTTACTCTGATGGATGGGCTGGACACCTTGGGTTTAAATAACCCTTTTATTTAAATCTTATGTTTCAGTTAAAGACGTAGACAACATTGTCTTTTGTGGTAGGAACATTTGCCTCTTGAAACGCTAAAAGATAAATAATTCTTTGAAAAGGGTAGGTTTCCTCTAGTTATAAGGGAAAAAAGGGGTGTTACAAGAGTGGCAATGATCACTTGGTTGCTAAATGAGAAAGGAAAGGCCTGTGGCTAAAGCATAGTGCATTTTACATTTGGGAGAAGATCCCAGAGAAAAAAAACCAAACTCTTAAGAAAAAATTTTTTTGGGGGGGCGCCTGGGTGGCTCAGTCGGTTAAGTGGCCGACTTTGGCTCAGGTCATGATCTCGCAGTCCGTGAGTTCGAGCCCCGCGTCGGGCTCTGTGCTGACAGCTCAGAGCCTGGAGCCTGTTTCAGATTCTGTGTCTCCCTCTCTCTGACCCTCCCCCGTTCATGCTCTGTCTCTCTCTGTCTCAAAAATAAATAAACGTTAAAAAAAAAAATTAAAAAAAAAATTTTTTTTAAGTTTACTTAGAGAGAACAAGCAGGGGAGGGGCAAAGAGAGAGGGACAGAGGATCTGAAGCAGGCTCTTTGCCAACATAAGACAGTCCAGTGTGGGGCTCGAACTCACAGACTGAGATCCTGACCTGAGCCAAAGTCAGATGCTTAACTGACTGAGCCACCTGCCAGGCACCCCAACCCAAACTCTATAAAAAGGGTCTATATTTGATGCAATGGGGTCTTAAATAGCTGCTTGGGACAGTTTTTAACAATTATGCTTGTGAACTAATGCCTTATTTTTAGCCGGCGATGTTTCAAAGGGAAATAAAGTGCTTTTGCCCATTTATTTAAACTAGGCCTGTGTATGGGTTGGGTGTACCTTGACTTCATATTTGCTGCTTACGCTTTGTAGAGCTGATGGCCTCTAAGTACTTTTTAATGTCATCGTAGTAAATTGCTAGTGTCACAAAGAAAGCTTTGGTTTTAGATTGACTTACTGTTTGTATGGGTTCTAAGGTAGGAAAAAAAAAGTAAGCAGAGCATTACATAATTTGTGTAAACGATTTAGGTGTTGTTCAAGGAATGATAACAGGAATTCGAGGACTGTGCAATGGTCTGGGACCAGCTCTTTATGGATTCATTTTCTACATATTCCATGTGGAACTTAAAGAACTGCCAATGACAGGAACAGACTTGGGAACAAACACAAGCCCACAGCACCACTTTGAACAGGTAATTCCTCATTCACATGGTGAAAATATAGTTCATTTGGCTGGATTACAAGATAAATGGGTTTTGGTCACTAAAGTTTTTATGTGAGATTATTTTAGATCTACGACACTTAAAAACCAAAGCCTAAAAGGACTGTGTTCTCCTGTCTACCCCTTTTTGAAATTGGACATAACTTTTCCTTCGAGAATTGTTTAAACATTCTGGTTTGTCCTATTACACATAACGGCATAGATTAACAACCGTTTATCTGTAGTACAATTTGTGTCTCATCTGGGACTTTTGTACTGCGGGAGTTCCCTATATTAAGCCTGCCTTCTGTACGAAAAGTCAGTTAGGTGCTGATAAACGTCTTTTGTTCACTTGTTTGCTGTACTTTCCCCCCATACAACTGAAAACGTGAACGGCAAACATGATCATTTTAGCCAATACAAACAGCGCATCAGTTTCCTTGCTTGTTCAGCAGAGTTCCACACTGATCTAACCAGCTAAGACTACTTTTAAATGAAAATGAGTGTTTGTTTGTGGGCTATCCACAGGTTAAACTGGCAGTGCAAGTTTTTGCTAAGAATGAATGTAATTTGGACTAAAACAAAGGTTTGATTCTTAATGGTAACGGCATTAGCTGTATTTTCTTCACCTTTAGTTACTAGCGAATATATTTACCTTTTAAAGAAAATAGTCATGGATTCTGTTACTGTAGCTCATAGTGTATAATAAATTTTATTACTCTTGAGATCTTGAACAGATTAAGCGAAGGCTCATAGAACGTGTTCCGATTTTGTGATGACAGTATATTTTTGCATAGGCTGTTTTTAAAACAATCTTTTGGCTGTTTCTTGGGATCAGTTGTTATCCTCAGGATATTATAGTGAGCGTGTCCCTTTTCTTCTAAAAAGCAAATGCATGTTCTAACCATGGCTTTAATGGAGAGAGGTGGTCTTGGCTTATAATTCATGGCAGTCTGTTACTACGAAAAGATAAGCAGTTCTTAAGAGCAGAGATGCTCTGTACAAAAATCCTAATTCTCTTTTCCTTCCTCAGAATTCGATCATCCCTGGCCCCCCCTTCCTCTTTGGAGCCTGTTCCGTACTGCTGGCTCTGCTTGTTGCCTTGTTTATTCCAGAACATACCAATTTAAGCTTGCGGTCCAGCAGCTGGAGAAAGCACTGTGGTGGTCACAGCCATCCCCATAGTACACAAGCGCCAGGAGAGGCCAAAGAACCTTTACTCCAGGACACGAATGTGTGATGACTGAAATCAGGAAGACTTTTCTACCACACCCAGGTCTTAGTTTTCACCTGTAGTTCTGGATGTACATTCCATTTCCATCTCAATGTACTTTAAGATTGTCTTAAGAAATGTATCTGCATGAACTCGTGGGAACTAAAGAAAGAACCAGAACCGGACAGTTTTCCAAAGATGTTACAATTTCTTTTGAAAAGAAACCTTTTGTTTATTAGCACCAATTTCTTGCCACTAAGCTTTTTTGTTTTATTATACATCCTTTAATTAAAAACTATATACATACCTTCTTAGATACTAGCAACGTCTCTGCTACCATTTCCTTCAGGTGTTGAGCTTTAACTCTATGCTGACTCACAGTGAGACAGAGTAGGTAGTACGGTTATGGACCTGTTTTAACATTGTAAAATCTTGGGTCAAATAATTCAAAGCCTTAATGCAGATGCACTAAAGTAAAGAAATGGTAAATGAACTGTTTGCATTAAAAAAAAAGAAAAAAACTTAAGAAAATTGTACTAAATCTGAATCATGTTTTAAGCTTGTTTGTAGTAATTTTATTTTAAAAACATTCACCACTGTTTTTGAAATGAGAAAGTATCAGCCATTTAGAATTTAAATTGGGGTAGAGTCTGTAAATCTAAACACTGGCTCGAATTTGTTTCCCCAGCTACTTCTACCACTATTCTTTTAATGTTTGCATAATCATAAGAACCTCAACACTTGAATACATAATCTAAAATTATATAGTAAAGCTGGTAGCCTTGAAAATGTCAATGTGATATCTGTATGTAGATAAATATATATAGTGGCCTTTCAGGACTGTCACAGTAACACTTTATTTACAGAGCTAATGTTTGTCCTAAATTTTCAGGACCCTAGAAGAGAGCTTTATACAATTCCTGATGTGAATTTCTCTAAAGTGTATATTTTTGTGTCCAGTTATATTATTTAAAAAAGTGTTACTTTGTAAAAATTGTACATAAAGTATTGTATAGTTTACACTGTTTTCATCTTGTGTGTGGTTATTGCGCAATGCTTTTTAAACTTGGAACATTCACTATGGTTAAATAAGGTCTTAAACGAAATGTAAATATTCTGTTAATAAAATTAAATATTTTAATGATCTTTTTTTAAAAGAAAAGTCTTGATCTGTGATTCCCTAGAAGGTCTGTTTGGGCTTTATTTGTTACCATCATCGTTTTTACAGTAACAAATCAAAGCTTTACACCTTTTCCCTTTCAATCCCTTTTTTCTCCCGTACTACAAAATACTCTTGTAGGAGGACAAAAGAAATGAAACCCTGGTCCATAAATTAAATGCAAGTAAATTCTAAGCATAGTCGGTAGTTGCAGATGAGTCCGGTTTATGTTTTCATATACTTTTACATGTCTCACTCCATAAATACTTTATTAACAGAGCTCACAGTTTACAGAAATACGTTCATTGCAACCTGGTGATTATTAACACATGTACAACTGTACACTGCAAAACAATTTCAAATAAAAAAGAACTACTTGTAGATAATAAATCCCATCCAAACACTGTCACGTTTTATACATATCACATAATATTTACAGGAAAGATTACCACCAAGAGGTTACTTTCCAGATGATTAGAAGTGCTCTGAAGTTAGTGTAACCAAGTATTCTTACTAATATTAATATAGTACATTTAAATGACAAAAATCCAACCCCATAATGGTTACTAAATGTTTTAGAATAAATCCCCTAGTTAAGATTGCTTGCAACTGCCAGCAATGTTTCACGGTATCATAGGATTCAATAGCGTGGCTTCAGAAAAATACTAGCAAAGATTCTCTGTCTTACCGTGAACCCAATGATACTGGTATGCCATTAATGTCTTCAATGTCTCTTTCTTCATCTGTGTGGTGAGGGAGGTCCTTCAAAATAGTTTTTTTTTTTTTAATTTTTTAATGTTTATTTTTATTGTGAAAGAGAGAGACTGAGGGGGTGGCAGGGCAGAGAGAGAAGGAGACACAGAATCTGAAGCAGGCTCCAGGCTCTGAGCTGTCAGCACAGAGGCCGACGCGCAGGGTTCAAACTCAGGAGCCTTGAGATATGACCTGAGCCAAAATCAGATGCTCAACCAAGCCACCCAGGCGCCCCGCTTCAAAATAGTTTTTTAAATATCACACAAGTATTAGCAATCTTTGCAAACAAAAACTGATTTATAGGTTTCATAAGAGAATGCTGCTCTGTACTGGGTGGTGGTCAGCAAGAAAACAAATTGGGGACCCTCTGATACTGGGTGAATTTTTTTTTACCTAATTTTTTCAAAGTAATTCTTACTTGAAACACTTGGTTACAGGGAAAACAGCTGTTAGCTTCTAACAGTTACTCAATTTGCCTACTTTATTAAGCAAACGTTAAAATGAACCCATTGATATAAAAAAACAAATACAATGAATATTCATGATGCTCTTCCAGTATTTTTCATAGTACTATTTTTTAAAATATTCTAATACAGATGTAACTGCAAAACAAACTCATGAAATTCAAAAAAGAGAAAAAAATAGATGTGTCAAGACTTCCAGAAAACATTAAAATCCTATAAACTACAGTTCAAATGATTAAAAGCACTTTCTGCCTAATCTGGTTATGTAAATATGCTGTCCAAATTATTTTTATAATTTATCAAAATAAGTAGACTTGTTTAATAGCTAATTTAAAGAGGTTGCAAGGAAAATATTTGCTATGAAGGATTTATTTTCATTCATTTAAGGTAATTTTAGGACTTTTCCCTTTACTATAAACATCAATAATATAGGTTATCTTTGGAGATAATCATTTTCCCTCATAATTCTCAGGTGTCAAAACTTTTATTTTACCAATGAAAATAAAATGAATTGTTAACATTCTTTGGTTTCATATTCTGTCTGAGCAGGTTTTCATTTACCCAGATACTCAATAGAACTAGAATGTCCCTTAAAAGGACCAACTCTTTCCTTGGAACTTCTGAGAATTTCTAAGGATTCGTTTAAAATTCGTTTAAAATTCATACTATTCTATAAAACACCGTGTTCACACACTACAAAGTGTCATTTACTCAGAATCCTCACTCAGAATCCCCCATGGGCTCCTCTAGCTTGCCATAAAAGACAGCGGTCCTTTAAAAAGGATCCAAACGATCTAATACGTTAAGCTCAAGTAACCTTGGAAACTTGCTTGGCTTAGGATTTGATCTATGCTGTTCATATATTTTTAAACCCTGTGAATTTCTAAAATTTCAATAAAAAGTAAAAGGTCACACTAGCATCAACTGTTCGCTAACTGCCCAGGGAAATAGGCTGACGGTGCAGAAGGGAGCACAGGGGGCTTTGAAGATGTCTGTACTGCTCCGAAAGTGCCATCTTTCTGATGGTCTGCAAATGAGGACAGAAAAACATTATTTGTATTCACCAAGTCTTTATATAATACAGTGAATCCACAATGTACAAGCCATTTCAACAATGTCTTCTCACCTGGATTACTGAACAGATTTTGGCTGAGTCCGCGTAAAGGAATGCTATCTTCCCTTTTCTTCAGATATTTGGATTCCAGCCCTAAATTTGCACCACTTGAAAGGAAAATAGTATTTATTTTTACAAAGTCTTGTTTTCACCTTAATAGTTAATTCTGAAGGTTTGTCTAATCTATCTATATATATATATACATATACTATATGTAAAATAATTGAAGTTATATTTATAGCTTTGTTCTTCAGTGTTTTTTTATATTTCTTTTTAATGTTTGTTTATTTTTGACATAGAGACAGAACGTTGAGCAGGGAAGGGCAAAGAGAGAAGGAGCTGCAGAACTCTAAGCAGGATCTAGGCTCTGAGCTATTAGCACAGAGCCCGAAGTGGGGCTCAAACTCACGAACTGTGAGATCATGACCTGAGTCAAACGACTGAGTTTAACTGACTGAGCACCCAGGCACCCCTCTTCAGTGCTTTCTTAAGCAAACAATTTATCCACAAGCCAAAATACCCTTCTTCCCAGTAAACTAAGTAGCACTAATAAGTCAAAGAGCTAAGATAAAGAATGTAGGCTAGTAGGGCATGGGTGGCTCAGTCGATTTGAGCATCTGACTTCAGCTCAAGTCATGATCTCGTGGTTCGTGGGTTCGAGCCCTACGTCCGGCTCTGTGCTGACAGCTAGGAGCCTAGAGCCTGCTTCAGATTCTGTGTCTCCCTCTCTCTCTGTCCCTTCCCCACTCACTCTCTCTCAAAAATAAACATTAAAAAAAAAAATTCTTTTTAAGAATGTAGGCCAAATGAAAGTCTAGTACTATGAAATTGTAAAACAGCAGCACTTAAGTGATGATACATGATGAAAACACATGTTTATGCTTCAAGAATACCCTTATTATTTAACAACTTCTATTTCATCTTGTATTTAATGAGTAAGATTTTTCCTTTGCCAAAAGCTCTTCAAAGTTTTAATACTTCAATTGTCACTAATAAGCACTATTAAAATTCATACACAATAATGAATTCTAGTCAGATAAATACAAGTATCAGCTGCGAGGAAACAGGGAGGGGCATTTATGTAGCCCTATGTTACCCTTTTCTACTACCATAGTCCTACTTTCTAAATCCATCCAGTGTTAAGTTTCTCTAGTAGTTCCTTATAACAAGAATTTAAAGGCACTTGTAAAACAATGACATTACACTCTTAAAATTAAATGGTCTTTTTCCAATTTTCAGAGAAGAGAAGAATTAAGTGGGTGAACAGGTATTTCCTTCAATTTTAACTTTTAACCTTTGATATCCACTGCCACTTTTTCCTAGCTGACAATGAATAAAGGAAAACAAAACTAAAAGAGATAACAGTCAAAATAGCTGACCAGTCCTATTTTATGGACACACGATTATGTTTGATTTTGTACCACAAATATATTTTCTGCAAGTAAAACTGCTGTTGGGTGTATGAGAGTTAACTGTATCAACACGAAGTTCTACCATTAACACGATTTGCAGGTGCTCCACCTCCTGAACAAGTGTGAGATTATATAAAAATTTCAGGACTTCAAAGAATTCTGACTTTCTTTTCAAAAGAGGCTCACCAACTACCATAATACTTGCGTTGGTGCCAATTTTAGAAGCCAATGAATAAGAGCCAGCTCATGACAGGCCTTAAAGTGATTAAATTTTAACTAAGAAGAGTTAATAAGAAAAAAATATTACAAACATGAAGAATACCCAGAAACAAGTTTTCATGCGTTACAAACTTCACTATGTAAAACCTGTGTCAGGTCTAAAAAATAGGAAGGAATTTCTGAGTAGGCAAAACAGAAGTCACAAATTAAAGCTTATTTTGTTAGGTATGGGACAATCTCACAAGCCTTGTTATTCTCAGCAAAGAATTCTAGCAGTTTGAAAGAGCTGGCGTCTCAGAGCACTTTACACTAGCAGCATTAATTCAGAAAAATGGAGAGCTTTCCAGAGGCAAACACAGCCATACAGGAAAACAAAAACAAAAACCACCAAGTAAGAGGAATTAAAAAGATTTCTAATCTACTTGCCCAAAAGCATATGAAAGGGAGATCTTCAGTTATGTAGGAAAGTTTCTTAAAAAATAAAATTTTACTGTATGTTTAACTGTATCTTACAGTTTAAAAAAATTATGGAAAATCTTTTTTTAATGTTTATTTAGAGAGAGAGAGAGAGAGAGAGAGGGAATGAATATATCTCAAGCAGGCTCCATGCTGTCAGCATAGAGCCAAACACAGGGCCTGATCCCATGAACGGTGAGACCATGACCTGAGTCAAAATCAAGAGTCAGATGCTTAACCAACTGAGCCACCAAGGCGCCCAGGGAAATCTATTTCTTACAAAGAAAAGTGACTCTAGCTTCAATCCCACTGATCAGTAACTTAAAATGTCACAGATAAATAAGTGGGCATCAAAGCTTTCAAACACTGATAAAAATTATTTAGGATGACTTTCAAAAGTGCAAACATTAAATTTTATGACAAGTACTTACTTTTCCTTATCAGTTGAGCAAGGCATACTAATAGTTGTTCCTGTTTGAACATCTCCTAGTGACGTATTTGGTTTTGTAAACTGCAAGTTAAACTGAACCTGTGAAGAGGGAAAACACCTCATGTAACTGAGTTAGTGAGAACGGAGGCAGTTCCATATGGAGATGGATGGTTAAAACTTCTTTCTCATGTATCTAGAATATAGAAGAACAGGTTCAACAAGTTATTTTATAACACAAGAACATTTTCCTGAAGAGATTTAACAACAACAAAAATCCTGTATCTCCTTGCCAAAAATATTCCTGTGATAGAAGCAAGATGAACAGTGCAACATGATCTCTTAACAATTATTTTGAAACAAAAACAAACACTAATGCAGCCAATCCTTGTACAACATGGGTTTGAACTGTAGGGGCTATTTATACGGACTTTGGTCAATAAATACAGTACACCAGTAGAATGCAGTACCATCTGTCTCCTCATCCCCGCCCAGTTAGCAAAGCTGGATCCTGAAGTAACACCTACTCCTTATCCACTTGACTCCCTAGTTTCTGCTTACAGGAAATGCTGGCAAGCAATAAGCTGCTAGTTCCCTGGGGATTTTAGCTCACCACCTCAGAGAACATCCACCATGGTGGATGGCACGGCACCCCTGCCTGCTGTCTGCCCTTCACTGCAGGCTCCCTCCTTGTTGTTCTGGGGTTTCCCCAGACCCTCCAGTGGTGTGGTATCTTTCGTTCTGTGATCCTTGCCCAACTACAACCAGTAACTGGCCCTGCCACTTCAGCAAGAATCTCTCTCCAGAGCCGGTTCCTTTACTGCCTCTCAGCTCAGGCCTCAGTGAACTAACCATGCACACAGGGAGTGGAATGAGGAGTGCCAAAAGCAGGGGAGAGTCCAGCCTACCCGTATGCTTCCTCTACATTCCCTTTGTTTGTAATCATTTGGCAACTTCTTATGTTTCAATCACAATATAAAATACATTCATGGGGAAGACAGGGGGAAAATATATATATATTTTTTTCACACACACATACATATATATATGAAATACAGTAGTTAAATTTGAGAGAAGTCAAAAGTTATACATGATTTTTTGACAATGCAGGGGTCAATGCCTTCTAACCCCAGCACTTAAATAAGTATCAGGTCACCTGGGTGGCTCAGTTGGTTGAGCATCCAACGCTTTTTTTTTTTTTTAATGTTTATTTTTGAGAGAGAGAGAGCAAGCAAGGGAGGGGCAGAGAGAGAGGGAGACACAGAATCCGAAGCAGGCTCCAGGTTCTGAGCTGTCAGCAGAGAGCCCAACATGAGACTCGAACCCACAAACTGCGAGATCGTGACCTGAGCCGAAATCGAACGCTTAACCAACTGAGCCACCCAGGCACCTGGAGTATCCAACTCTTGATTTCAGCTCACGTCACAATCTCACAGTTTGCGAGTTTGAGCTTACTGCCCCCCTGTCAGGCTCTGTGCTGACAGTGCAGAGACTGCTTGGGGATTCTTTCTCTGCCCCTCTCCTGCTTACGCTCTCTCTCAAGATAAATAAATATACTCAAAAAAATTTTTTTTTAATTTTTAACTTTTATTTATTTTTTGAGAGAGACAGAGCATGAGCCGGGGAGGGGCAGAGAGAGAGGGAGTCACAGAATCCAAAGCAGACTCCAGGCTCTGAGCTGTCAGCACAGAGCCAGACATGGGGCTTGAACTCATGAACCACGAGATCATGACCTGAGCTGAAGTCGGATGCTTAACCGACTGAGCCACCTAGTCACCCCAAAAATTTTTAAATAAGCAAGTGTCATAGTTCTAAAAGTTTTCTCCCTATTTATAACAATGATGCATGTTACAGCATGTATTCTGAGAATTCTTCCCTTTTCAAGAATTTTCAAAGTCTGTTATATTTATGGTTTCTAAATGAAAGGCTAGGAATTAGAATTTTAAAACAAAAGTAACCCAAGAATCTATACAAAATCCAAACTAAAATAGATGACTGAGCATGTTTCACACCAGGAATTTATAAATGGGTTCTATATCAGAAAAATGTATACACATAATCAAACTAATAGATGGAAAAAAAATTATGACCACTTGCATACAAAAGGAAAAGGCAGGAGAAAACATAAAATATCTACTTTTGGTAAAAAGTCAATAAAATAGGAATAGATAGATACTAATTTCATAGGTTAAAACTACAAATTAAAAAGGTATATACTACTGTACTATCAAGCTTCAATATTCCAAAGATATTAGTTCTCCCTACATTAATCCATGCATTTCACATGATAACCTTAAACACAAAAAGGAGTTTTTAAAGTGAAACAAGTTGACTCTAATATTCCTTATAGAAAAATAAATATGGAGTGCCTGGGTGGCTCAGTCGGTTAAGCATCCAACTTCGGCTCAGGTCATGATCTCTCAGTCCATGAGTTTGAGCCCCACATCAGGTTCTGTGCTGACAGCTCAGAGCCTGGAACTTACTTTAGATACTGTGTCTCCCTCTCTCTCTGCCCCTCCCCCACTTGCAGTCTGTTTCTCTCTCACAAAAATAAACATTGAAAAATTAAAAAGACATATGGGTGAGGAATATTAAAGTATCAGATAGCAATTCATAAGATAATTTTCAGCACCAATCACAAATTAGAAAACTGTACAAAATAAAAAGAATGGTCTCAAATACTGAACAGACAATGCACAGGTTGTATGTAACCTTTGAGAGAAATGTAATTCCCCATCAATGACCCAGCTTTCCAACTGGAGGCACACCCTAAATTCAGGTACAGAGGGAAAACATAGATCAACATCAGAATTTAGGGAGTTTGGGGTAAGTGAAAGTTAAAGGGCAGAATTCTGATGAGAAAGAAGCTATAAAGGAAAATCTCTGGAAATCTGCACATGGATCCCTTAGAATTTTTGCTTAGTACTGGCCACATGCATAGGGAAAAATGCCCCAAGACTAAAAAAAAGAAATGGGAGGGGTGCCTAGGTGGCTCAGTCGGTTGAGCATCTGACTTCAGCTCAGATCATGATCTCACACTTCGTGGGTTCGAGCCCACAGTGGGCTCTATGCTGGCAGCTCAGAGCCTGGAGCCTGCTTCGGATTCTGTGTCTCCTTCTCTCTCTGCCCCTGCCCTGCTCGCTCGCGCTCTCTCTCTCTCAAAAATCAATCAACATTAAAAAAGTTTAAAAAAAAAAAAAAAAAGAAATGGGAATTTTCACATGAACAATTTCTAAGGTTCATAATCATGGAGACACATGGTAATCATTTAGGGCATTCAGTGAAGAGCCACAAAGGATCACAGCTTTGTAGAAGGGCTGAACTATCCCTTGAGTAAAAGCTACTTTAGATGCACCCAAGTAAAGCTAAAGAAAAAAAATGAAAGAAACCTAGAATGCTCCAAAGGGATCAAGGGAACCCACAACTAACTTAAATACCAGCCACTCTTTATTTTATTAAGAAAAATTTTTTTTTAAATATTTATTTTTGAGAGAGAGAGACAGGATATGAGCAGGGGAGGGGCAGAGAGACAGGAGACACAGAATCTGAAGCAGGCTTCAGGCTCTGAGCTGTCAGTGCAGAGCCCAATGCAGGGTTCAAACTCATGAACCATGAGATCGTGACCTGAGATGAATTTGGAAGTTTAACCAACTGAGCCACCCAGGCAATCCTACAGCCACTCTTTAAAGGAAGATAACAAAACACATACGGTCAACAATGTAACCACTGACAGTGTTCCACAGTCTATCAAAAATTACTAGAGATGACATTAAGAAAATGTAACACCAAGGAAAGAGTCAATGGAAACAGATCCAGAAATGACAGAAATGATAACAGGACAAGGACAGAGATGTTAGAACAAAGATAACAATCAAAAAGAATTTAATGGAAATTGAAAGTATGAGAAAAATGAAAAATATAAAAAAGAATGAAATGGAACTTGCAGCGATGGCAAATTCAATACCTCAAACACAAATTTCTAACTGGACAGAAATAACAGCATATTAAACACTGCAGAAAAAAAAAAAGATAGGTGACTTTAAAACATAGCATTTGACTGTAAAAGCATAAAATAATGAACAGTCTCAACAGAAAAATATGGGATCAACCATGTATAAATGGAATATTGAAAGAAAATAATAGGAAAAAAAGTGAAGAAATAATGACCAGAATTTTCCAAGTTGTCAACCATAAACCCGATACACAGATCCTCAATAAAAGCCCTAAGTGGATAATGATATACATGTACCACACCAAAATATATTATAAATAAGTTGCTGAAAATAATGAAAAAAAAGGAAATGTGAAAAACACCCAGAGAAAAAGTCACTTTCTAAAGAGGAAAAGTGCTAAAAAAATGACTACTAATGACTTGCCAGAAACTATTCAATCCAGGCAACACAGGATAACCTCTTCAAAATGCTGAAAGGAAACAGAAACTTGTTGATTTTGATGGCAACGTAGGAAGAGGACAATGTAGAAAGACCCTGAACTCACCTCCTCCAGAGACACACCAAATCTACCTCTTTATAGAGCAATTCCTCCTGAAGATGCTGAAGGCTGAATGAACAACTTGTGCATAACAAATATAGACAGAGAATGGCAAAAGGTGGAGACAGGGTAAGAAAGGGAAACACCCAATGTCAACACTGCGAACTACACTGGGGAAGGATAGTACTGAGTAACTGTGAGCTGATTCACCTGCCCTACGCACAGAAAAAAGCCTCAGATTAAAAGAAGAGCTAGAATATAAAAGATCAAGTCCTAGAAGGGCGCCTGGGTGGCGCAGTCGGTTAAGCGTCCGACTTCAGCCAGGTCACGATCTCGCAGTCCGTGAGTTCGAGCCCTGTGTCTGGCTCTGGGCTGATGGCTCAGAGCCTGGAGCCTGTTTCCGATTCTGTGTCTCCCTCTCTCTCTGCCCCTCCCCCGTTCATGCTCTGTCTCTCTCTGTCCCAAAAATGAATAAACGTTGAAAA